TGAACATAAGTCAATAAGGGATCGTGTTGTGCCTACATATGTTCAACTACAATGGCTAAGGAATAGAGGACTTAAGCTTCTAGCCCTTCAATTAGGAACGTTAAAATTTGAGCGTGTTAGTAAATTCTGGCTATCTACATCACCAATAATGAGGTTGTGTAGAGAAACGACACCCAGCATTGTTTTACGATTTGTTAAGTTTACAATTTAGGTAAGTTTATTAGTAAGAGTCTGCTATGATACCAAGGAAGCTGAAGATTTGCATCCCAGTTAGGGCCCCTAAAAGCAAATAGTACGAAAATTTTGCGTAATGATTCTATTCGCTCTTGATGTACTCCATATTCGTAATATGAGCAAATGACAAATGACTGCAGTAACGGACGCAGCAAAGAAATAAAAAAAACTTTTAGTAATATGGTGATCGTTGAATTCTTTTGACTATCTTTAAATAACCATTGTGGCAATATGGTCGAAAAAGTTGAGTTTTCAAATCTAATATCATAACGATAAAACGACTAGAACGATAAAAAGACCGCCTAGTAGCACGGACTAAACGGAAATGTACATTTTTAAATAAAACTTTTTGAGTTCTTTCTTCTAGGTAGCAGGAGATTGACGTTAGGACACGACGTCTATTGGAAATCTTAAAAGAAAGTTTCCTCAACACTGAATCTGATTTACTGAATCAAATGCTTTACTGAAGTCTGTTTAAATGAAATCGGTTTAAAATCCCTTTCGGAAACCATCCATGAGAAAGGATGTCAACTCCAATAAGTTAGTGGTGGTGGAGCAACGCTTACTGAAGCCATGCTGACATGGAGAAATGATGAAGAGCAAAGGTGCTTAAAATGAGGAGTGATTAATTTTTTCAATAATTTTGGAATTACATAAAATTTAGAGATGCCTCTGTAGTTGTCAGCATCAAAGATTTCCCCCTAGTAGTTTTTTTCCTTTTTATACCCTTGCAGAGGGTATTATAATTTTGTCCAAAAGTGTGCAACGCAGTGAAGGAGACATCTCCGACCCTATAAAGTATATATATTCTTGATCAGGATCACCTCCTGAGTTGATATGAGCATGTCCGTCTGTCCGTCTGTCCGTCTGTCCGTCTGTCTGTTTCTACGCGAACTAGTCTCTCAGTTTTAAAGCTATCGTCTTGAAACTTTGCACACACCCTTCTTTCCTTTGCACGCAGTATATAAGTCGGAACGACCGGGATCGGCCGACTATATCCTATAGCTGCCATATAACTGATTGATCGGAAATGGTATAACTTTGGTGTTTTTAGAGTTAGAGAGTTCAAATTTGACACGAGTGCTATTTTTGGCAAAACATTACGACATGCCAAATTTCATAAGGATCGGCCGACTATATCTTATAGCTGCCATATAACTGAACGATCGGAAATGACCCAACTTTCGTTTTTTTGAAGATAGAAAGCTGAAATTTAATACAGATTCTATTTTTGGTCAGTTGATCCAACGTACCAAATTTCATAAGGATCGGCCGACTATATCCTATAGCTGCCATATAACTGAACGATCGGAAATGACCCAACTTTCGTGTTTTTGAAGATAGAAAGCTGGAACTTGGTACAGATTAAATTTTGATCCATCCTACCAAATTTCATAAGGATCGGCCAACTATATCCGATGTTTGCGATATATATCCGGTTTTAGCTGCAAGGGTATATAAACTTCGGCTCCGCCCGAAGTTAGCTTTCCTTTCTTGTTTAATAAAGGGATTCATGAAAGTTCCTTCCAATTAAGAGGAAAAATCGAGGTTTTCAAAGATAAGAAAAGTCTATGTAGAGGTTTGCACTAAGCCTTCGAACACTATTTGAGCCCACAGCCTGTTACTTCGTTGAGGCCTGGCGAATAAATAGGTTTAAGCAGGTAATAAACAGGGCTATTCTACGAGGAAGACGGACAGAAAATAATATTTTCTGATTGAATGTTATATGCGTTGTATTTAAAACTGACATTTTCCGACCATATTTCTACCATAGTTATTTATTTAAATTATTTATCTATTTGTTTTACAACGAACTAATAAATTTAATTAGGTAAAGTGATAATTGTGGTGATAGGTGATGGAATATGTGACTATAGTTATTACATAGAATACGAAACGGATAATGTTCAGCACAATTCAATTTGCGGATGGGTAGCCACAGGCTGAAAAGGCTGAAAGGACTTGGTTATCCTGTTTTCCAAAAGATCCAAAACATATGGAAAAGCGTGACCCCCGCACAGGTTTACCGATCCAATGGTTACCGATGGTAAAGATTACCAATGTTGGTAAATTAAGCAGTTGAAGCAGTTGAACGAAAAGCTTTTCTATACCATGGTATTTCCCTACATTATCTTTTGATATCAAAAGATATCCCTATCATATACATGTATGACTCCTAGGATAAATAAAGAGCAATTACAATAACAATTACAAGCCACTAAACATTTTCTTTATTAACCTCGAGCCAGCCAAAAACAACAAGGAGGCCTTTCAGGTCAAGCGGCTATGCAGCACGGTGGTTACGGTTGAGCCACCAAAAAAATTCGACGATGTGCCCCAATGCCATCACTGCCATGGCTTCGGTCACACGAAACGGTACTGCCATCTGGAGTATAGATGCGTAAAGTTTGGAGATAGGCACCCATCGTCCGAATGCACCAAAATCGCCAGTGAACCAGCCGTCTGCCTGGTTGGCGAACATGCTCGGCTGTGGATGGGCCCCTTTAGATGATGTAGACAACGATTGATGCGCAAAATTTTTGATGGCATTGGGAACAACTTCATAAAAAGCTTCAGAACTTTCGATATCACTGATACGGAAAAGAAAATTCCAAGCGTGAAGATCTGTCTGACACCACTGAAATCAGTATATTAAAGCACTTCTGTTGTGCTGTACCATTTTGACCAGTAGTTTTTAGAGAAAAATCAGTAGAGTCTGATAATGAAAGCGAGGGGAGGTGTGATCCTCAGGGAGCGATATCAGAAAAGTATGTTTTACAATGTCATTCGAGAAGGTAAGGTCAAGATTCATGCCCCTAGTGTTTAAAACAGGGTTGATTTGACAATTTGAGCCAAGTGATGAGAGGAATGTTAAAGTCTCCTAGGACTAATATATGATCACGATTATTAACCATTGACAATACAGACAATGGCAGAAACATAAGAGGAATAAGAGAAAAAGATAAGAATATTCTCTGATGAAGGAGGAATATAGGAGCATGTCAAAAACAAGAAAGGAAAGCTAACTTCGGGCGGAACCGAAGTTGATATACCCTTGCAGGTAAAACCGGGTATATATCGCAAACATCGGATATAGTTGGCCGATCCTTATGAGAATATAATATAACCCAATTTATTATAATACAAAATCTAGAAAATGTCCCAAACTTCTATCTTCAAAAATACCAAAGTTGGCATTTCTACCATAAACCATTTCCGATCGTTCAGTTATATGGCAGCTATAACATATAGTCGGCCAATCGTTATGAAATTTGGTAAGTCGGATTAACTGACCAAAAATATAATCTGTATTGTTCCAGCTTTCTATCTTCTAAAAACACGAAAGTTGGGTCATTTCCGATCGTTCAGTTATATGTGCAGCTATAGGATATAGTCGGCCGATCCCGGTGTTTCCGACTTATATACTGCGTGCAAAGGAAAGAAGGGTGTGTGCAAAGTTTTAAGCCGATAGCTTTAAAACTGAGAGACTAGTTTCTCAAAAGTTTCTATAAAGTATATATCTATAAAAGTTTCTATGAAGTATATATCAAAAATATATATACTTTGTAGGGTCGGAGATGTCTCCCTCTCTGCGTTGCACAATTTTAACAAATTATAATACCCTCTGCAAGGGTATAATAAATAATCTACGAAAATCTTAACCCCAAAAATGTGTGTGTTATAAAACGGAATTGACACGGAGTAAAAGACGTCACCGAAGGGTGAACGTTTATACAAGCATTGTGACCAACACCCGCACATTTAATATGCGCACAATTATGACAAAGCCAACATGATAAGTAGAAGTCCCCTGTAATAGTACCTCCAAACTCGCTATACAAATAGAGAGCGTAGAAAGGTAGAAATAAGCTATAAGCGGCGCAATTGTAGCAAAACTCATATACATAATAAAGCCCGGAACTTATTTTCATATACTTTCAAGTTACTTTATACCTGTATTCTGTAGGAAATGTAAAATTAACCGACCGTTTTCGGTAGCGGCAGTTTTCCCAGAAAAATAAATAATTTCAATTAAATGCGTTCAATTAAATGCCCTTTATTGCGTTTATATACAGATTGGGATCACCTCCTGAGTTGATATAAGCATGTCCGTCTGTCTGTTTCTACGCAAACTAGTCTCTCAGTTTTAAAGCTATCGACTTGAAACTTTGCACACACCCTTCTTTCCTTTGCACGCAGTATATAAGTCTGAACAATCGGAAATGACCCAACTTTCGTGTTTTTGAAGATAGAAAGCTTGAAGATAGAAAGAACTTAGTACAAATTCTATTTTTGGTCAGTTGATCCAACCTACCAAATTTTATAAGGATCGATATATCTTATAGTTGTATAGTATATAACTGAACGATCGAAAATAGTATTTGGTAGAAATATCAACTTTCGGATTTTTGAAGATAAAAGCTTGGGCCTTTTTTTAAATTTTTTGTTGTAATTAATTGGTTTTATTATGATATTATCATAAGGATCGGTCAACTATATCCGATGTTTACGTTATACCTCCGGTTTTAACTGCAAGGGTATATGAACTTCGGCTCCGCCCGAAGTTAGCTTTCCTCTCTTGTTTTAGATTTTGTATTATAATAAATTGGGTTATATTATCATATTCTCAGAAGGATCGGCCAACTATATCCGATGTTTGCGATATATATCCGGTTTCAACTGCAAGGGTATATCAACTTCGGCTCCGCCCGAAGTTAGCTTTCCTGTCTTGTTTTTTTAATTTAACTATTGTAGATTTAACGTACTTTTTCAAAAGGTTTGGTTAACTCTGGATATCCGATTGAAACAAGCCACTCCGCCTCTAGTTCTCCATCTATATAAAATAAAGAAAATAAAATATGAAATTAAACCATTTTAATTTTCGCGTATTTTCCAGTATTTAATAAAAGTAACCCACCGTCGTAAGTGACTTCGGGCTCTTGGCATTGGGTAATATTTTGCAAAAAGTATTCATTCAGAAATTCGGAATAATCCAGATCGGAACTATGATCCAATGACGATTTGTTTTCCATTGCGCTTCTCTGCATAGATTATGATATTAAAATGAATATATGGCACATTTCTATTTTTATGTTTTATGTGGTCGAAAATGCATCATTTGGCATGAGGTACTGTATTTACTGTAAATATAAACGTACATAAATGTAGATTAGTATTAATAGCTTTTTAAACCAAATCGGATATCGGATCTTTTAATAATGTTCCACAAAAAAAAACTTGATTATAAAAAAAAATGATTATACTACTATATTGTATAGTCACAAATTGATAGGATATCAAATCCAATCCATTTTTTGTAATTTGTACTTTTTTTTCACTTATCACTTATCAGATTTTCACTTATCAATGTGCTCAGTGGGGAATTTGCCCTGTTTTTGTGGAATAACTTAAAAACAAACCAACATTTTTTTATTCGGTTTCTTAAATTAAGGGGACCTCCCCCCCCCATTCTCGGTTTTAAAAAATCAATTTTTTTTTAATTTAATTCGAACTTATAAATATTCAAGAATGTTCCCTGAAAATTTCAAGTAAAAATTTCAAAAACTCTTGAAGATATTGCCGATTTATGGTGGAAGCCTCAGGCGACGACGAGAGCCGTCTCAAAACTTTAAACGCGTTTTTCTCGAAACAGTGTTTTTACGACTGGCGCATGAGGTTATTCAAAAACTATTAATCCAATCGGTTCCAAATTTTAACACGTTATTCTATATATATATAGCTCTCGTATGAACTAGGATAAATCAAATCGGTGAAGATCTTCTTTACTTTTCAACTCGACTTGTGGCTGAAAAAAATGGAAATTTTCAAAAAAAAATTTCAAAGGTCCGCCATTTTGTTAATTTTTGAGCGAAGTTAATAATCCCAGTTCATACCAGAGCCAAACATGTACTTTTTCTAATCCCGTTGGAATTTTTGGATTCAGATGTTCCAGTGAGCGGAAATCACATGCGCCGCCGAAAAGAAGGGCTTTTCTTTGATCACAAAAAACAACAACAAAAACAAAACAAAACAAAATTCTGTGAAATGGTTTTTTATGTCTTAATATATGTAAGCACAGTTGCAACCCTAAAAAATAATTTATGTTCATTTGCCAGCCCATTGAAAATCGTCAAAATTTAAAATCGAGAATGGGGGGGGGTTCCCTTAAGAAATAAAGATATTTAAAAAAAATGGGCGTAGAAATCGAAAATAGATTCTCTACTAAGTTCCAGCTTTCTACCTTCAAAAACACGGATGTTGGGTCATTTTCGATCGTTCATATATATGGCAGCTATAGGATATAGTCGGACGATCTTCATGAAATTTGGCATGTCGTATTATTTAGTTGAAGATAGCTCTGAAATAAAATTTGAAATCTCCAACAAAAGTTATACCATTTTCGATCAATCAATTATATGGCAGCTATAGTATATATTCGGCCGATCCCAGCCGTTCAGACTTATATACTGCGTGCAAAGGAAAGGAGGTTATGCGCAATGTTTCAAGTCGATAGATTTAAAACTGAGAGAGTAGTTTGCAAAGAAACAGACAGACGGACAGACAGACAGAGGGAAAGTTGGACATGGTCATATCAACTCAGGAGGCGATCCTGTTCAAGAATATACATATATACTTTATGGGGTCGTAGATGTCTCCTTCAAAATTATAATACCCTCTGCAAGGGTATACAAATACCATTTTTGCTATGTAAGATAAGATAGTGGTGTATTGTCAATACAGTAAAACTTAAATATCCAAAATTTAAATACTTTAAAAAAAACACATTTATGGCACAAAAACAGGAAAAATTCCCCAGTGTGCTGCGTTTTGTTTATTGAGTTGAATTAGTGAAAAATTTTTAACCGAGGACTCAAGATGATCGGAATGATGTGTACGGCAAAATGAGTTGATTTTTACTCATTGCTGAATTTTATTCAGTGAGGTGAGTTGAATCACAAAGTTCAAAGTATGATAGTATGATCATACAAAGTATGATTAAATCAAGAAAATAATGAGTTTTTGTTTTCTTCTCTTCTGTTTTCTTTGAGTTCTTTGAATTCTTCTTACAATATATATACTTCGAGTACCGGGTATAAAAAGTGTATGGGAATGCAGTTTAAGAGGAAACCTCAGGGTACTTTAGAACTTATGCGATGGAAAGCGACCAAATCGTCAGTTTCTTTTGTAACCGGCCAGTAGTCGTGGAATATACATATATACATTACTTGATAAAATTTTTATTTTCCGAGTTCTGGGCTCAGATCAAGTTTACCATGTCTTTGGGGTCGCTCGGAAAATAAAAATTTTATCAAGTTTTTGAGGTTATGTCGTAACCCTGACATTCTGGAGTTTTTTAGACCTCGGATTCAGATTCAACGACCCCGAAAAAATATTTTTTTTTGTGTGGCTGTTTTTTTAAATTAATAGCTCGATTTGAATCGATTTTCAGCTAACATCTTAGCATTGGAATTTGCATTCGTCTTAGTTAAAAATATTGTTCATAAGCTTTATGAAATTATTGCCAAGTCTTTACAGAAGAATCCGGTTATAGCGGCTATCAAGGGACCGACGATTTTACGTCGTTATATCCGGACAACGCTATAACTAAAAGAAGCAAAAACTGTTGTTGTTTGTTTATGGTTGCCATGTTCGTAATAGGTTTATAAAATAAACAATTAAATTTTTTAATCAAAACAAAAAATGTAATAAATTTAGTTCAATATTGCACTTCGACTATCTCGCAGCAGTGTTACTAACGCGATAGCTACAACTTACAGGGAGTAGTGAGAGTGTAAGAACCTTCGTGTCGTTGCTACACACACAGGCAAGGGTGCCGATCACCTATAAATACATACATTTCTTACAGCGTCGTTTGATGTACATATTTCGCTGTACATCTTTTTTTTTCAAAACTTCGCAATATTCAGTTGAATTGTGAAAAATTTCGTCGGTATAAGCGGATTGTGCTAAAAGCGGAAACGTTCTAAGCGGAGTTCCTTTCATATATGTTTGTATGTGGACCAACCAAACTATCGAGTTTTCGTCGCAATAACCGGACGGTCGCTATAAGCGGAGTCGTTATAGCCGGATTCTACTGTATTTCTTTTATGATTTTAATTCACGAAATTGGGGCTAGAGAGGATTGGAGTCTCCATACAAAATAATTCTTAATAACATTGTATTTTTTCATTATTTTTTCAAAAGTTATTTAAGGGGGGACATCTGAGCAACAGGGGGAAAGAAACAGATTTTCTGGAATTTTTTTGTCCAAATGAAAAAGCCAATCACAAATTTTGTAAATTAGGTTTTATAATATTAGATGCGAAGTATAAAAAAAAATTTTTTTCGAATAAATCGAAAACAAAAAGGCGGCTGTGTAGCATTTTTAAAGGGGGTCCATGTCCAGACAGCTAAAGTCGTCAATTTTTCATGTAGAAGTTTCGTTAGTTTCTAATAGAAACTTTCTATACATCAACAGCTATCGACACACGTAGGATTTTTGCAATATATTGTTTTTTTTACAAAATGATGAGTGATTGAAAAAAAAGTTAAAATTTTCACGAAAAAAAAAGTCAAACATGGTTGATAAAAAAAAGTAAGCAATGTACAAAAAATCAGTGTGTGTCTAGGGACACGCGTGAGGAACGAAGTTCCTTTGGCATGTTTGGCAATGAAGGAGAGGCCGGAGTGAATGAAGGCGAAAAATGATTTACAACAACAATTTAAAACTTTATACAAAAATGATTTTATTTATTACTTATTTATTCTAGGTATATGTATAAATCTAATCAGTTCATTTAAATATAGTGATAATTGGCTTATGATAACTAAAGTAAGATACAAACATTTAAGATTCAACTTTGTCCAAGTTTGTTTGTTGTTGTCCAAACTTTGTCTCGAAAAAACTGCATCAATAGTCGTATTGAATCTTGTTGTAGACATTGTTGGGTAGTTATTAATTTTTGAACCAAATTCTTCAAGGAGAAATTGTGTCAGTGACTCTGATTTTTTATCAGAAAAGTTGATGTTAAAGTCACCGGCCAAAAATACAATTTTTTAGTACTATATCTCCGAAGAAGTCGAGAACCTTCTTTTCATGAGCATGAGCAGTGGAGAAACGCTTGACTGTGGAGAGCGAGAGAGTGGAAAAATGGTTATATTCTCTCACTCTACGAAGAAGAAGCAGACAGATAGCCGTTTAACGTTACGTTACGGGTTTTAAGTTAAGAAAATAATGCTTAGCTTCATAACCAATGAAGCTATCTAAACATGCTTTGTTGAAAAGGTTTTGCAGGGTGATGATGTTTGACTGGCAAACGGACATGCTTATTTATGTCAGGAGCTTATTTGATATTATGATATCAAATCAGGAGTTGATCCGGATCAAATATAAGTATGTGCATATATTGACCAATATATTGATGTTTCGAATATGTACATATTTATTAAAAATGATAATACCCTCTGCAAGGGTATGTACAAACATTTAGCATTTAAATACTACGTATTTATCTTCGGTTGAAAAAAACAATCCTAAATCACTGTTTATTTGATCGTTCAGTAAAAAGTTAATTGCGACTCCAAAATTACTTATTTTTGGGCTCATAACGAAACATTGTTATCATATATGTACATATTTACATGCCTATACATATATGTATGTATATACATATGTATGACATTTCTTCCATAATTTTGCTTATTTCAGACACTTTCTCGTTGCTTTTTCTTAGGAGCATTCTTGCACCGCACAGGGTATCGGTTATGTACGTTAATATGGTATACGTACGTACATAATAACGTACCTGTAGTTTACATGTTAGAGATACATATGTGTGTGTATGTACATATGTATATACTTACATTGACCTACCATCTGTTGATTTAACTACAGTGTTTATTTACATATGTATGCATATTTACTTACTTGCAAATTTGCATTTATATTTCTTATTTTATAACCAAAAATAAAAACTACCTTATTTTATCTTATAGGTATTTCCATTCATGTAAAATTTAAATGTTAAATCCATATTGTGTATTCATACATATATGTATACATAAATAATTTTAAAATCAGGTTTACTTTATACATACATACGTATGTAAATATACATAGTAGCATACATACACACTTGTGTACATGTATCAACGCATTTCCGCAAAAGTGCATACATTTGTACATACATATGTATATTTGTCAATTTTTATCGAAATAGAGTTCTTTTATTTTTTATAAAATAGTAAATATGTTCCAAAACCTAGCAAAGCGTTATGAGTGAACACTCTACAGTTAATAAAAATTACAGTTTCAAACGTGTAATCAACATAAAAAAAACTCCATTGATGTATGTACATATATTTGTATATGCATTTATATACATATATATATATCTATTCCATCTTGTACATTGTATTTACATTAACAAAAGAAAAAACTTGATTTGAAGCTCAAAACATTCGTGAAAACGCGTTTATATGTATGTACATGCGCCTTATACATATCTGTATAAATACCACTTATATAGATTTACAGATATATATATTTTCTAAAGATAAAAATTTGTAAATAAAAAATGTACATACATAGGTACATACATAAACAGATAATGTTATTCACTTTTTGGCTCTATTTTGTTTCTGATTTAATAAAAGTAACCCGACTGTAATATTATCTGCGTCGACAAAAAAAAATATTTGTTTATGTATTTTAACCACTATCCGATACAAAACTTAAAATGAACTGTGTAGAGCAATGGTAATACCTGTTAAGTTCAGCCTTTAACTACATACAAACATATGAATGTAAGTAGTTGCAGGTGTACATATGCATTTATAAGTATATTTGATAATGCATACACGAAACCCACTCACACCGTTCTTAATAAACCAATTTAATTTTTGGAAAAGTTATAATAATGTAAAAAGTACTACCAAATTGTTTAAAACTTAATTACATATGTATGTAGATTTTAGCTTTAAAAATCAGGTTTCTATCGAATGTACAGGCATAAAAACGTATCTGTGTCTACATATGTACGGTATAAACAACCCGACAAAATTTTCAATGGACTCATTAGCTACTCGATGGTTTTTAAAAGTTTAACATCACTGGTCGGCACCTAATACATTGATTTTATTTGAATGCATTAGTATTAGTTACGAACGGCAGAAAGTACGCTGCGAGCATGACGTTTCATACGTTTTTAAACAGTGTGTGAGCGGGGCAGCGAAATTTTCTATGCCACTGGAATAGGCCCTGCCGACCACTGTGATGGTCGGCAGCAAAAAAATCGGTCAATCTGGCCACTGTGCACTGTTTTACATTATAATACTTGTATAAGACACTACCGGCTTTTACTCTCTCATGCACTCTAGTTAAACATACGCTTTATTCCATTTTGACTAGGATGGAATTTTTGAGCTTTATGAGAGTTGATGCCCACATGCTTATCTATGCGTGAATTATGAATTTTTGCGAACCCTGCCTCGACTTTTGCCTTAAACCAACATTAAGACACTTATAGTTGCATGGACTGAAATCGTACTTGCAGAGCTTAACTGAACCCGGCTTTACTAATTTTTTACTGAACCCGGCTAATCCACAAGAAATAAGGATGTGTGCAAACTTGATAAGGCTTAAAAGTCGGGTATTGTCATATTTGGCTATTGGATGTAACGAACAGTCAACCTTGTGAGGTGGCATCTTTGGATCAACGGCTGAGAGAAAGGGTTGCACGCGGTTGCCAGCTAGGCCTCGTCGGCTAATGGGTGGGTCATATAGGGCCCTTTCTCTCTCCCTGATGCTTACCTCGGAGATCATAAATTCTATCGTTAATCGATTGCGTGCACGGCCTTTCGAACTGCGGAGGCCAAACATAGTCCTCTCAAAACAGATTTCATTTGGATCCTCAAGATCCTCGAGAACGCAAAAGTTGGGGGTGATTCAGCGGCAAGGCGGTGGCGAATTAAGCGAGGCGAATTATTTTTCTTTTATCTCATTATAAAATTCATGTTTATTAGGCTAAAGTGTTCTTATACATTTACTGCTTCCCCATCCCTATTTCCCCTTACTTCACTAAAAATTCAGTTTTCCTTCTTGGCTTACGTATCTACCAACTAGATGCTAGGTTAAATGATTGAAAATGAAAAAACTTAAAATAGTAGCGCGGGGGCAATGAATTCCAATGTAATGTATCCTAGAGTTAGCTTAAATTAGGGAATTAACGAATAATATTTCATTTCATGTATCTCTTTCTCTGTTCTCCAAATAATAAAATAAAAATTACACCCTCAAGCTCTTCTGCACCGCTTCGTGGTGAAAGGCTTACTGCGCCTGGCGTATGTGGATTCGCTGCGTATCTGCGCGTTTTTCCATAATGGACTCAGCTGTCTTTTTCCGCGAGCTAGCATTACATAAGAACGGTTCGGCTATGCCCTGGTTACATTTTAGGATCGGGCTCTTTAACGGATCACTCGCGGTGTCTATGGCGAAGGCAACCGTCCACTTGGTGGACCCCCTTCGGCCGGGAATCGGACGATGCGGTAGTTTGACGACCGGAATGTTCCGCGTCGCTTCGATTGGCTTTATATAAAACTACTCGTACTCACTCACCCCTTTGTCCGCGACGAGCTGGTTGAAGCGCTTCCACGTGCTCGAAGCTGGAAAGGAAATATCTCGGGAAAGCTTTCGCTAGCCCGTTCACACAAAAAGATCTTCACTTAGTTAGCCAATCGAAATCTTTATTCGGAGCGGAACCCTCCGCTCACCAACTCCGCACAGTTCTTTGTGGCACCACGAGGCCACCAGTTGGATCGATTACACTCCCCTTTTTCTTGCGGCGGAGCGTTCCTTAAAATCGCCGCAAACGCTCCGAGCCTGGCTCCCGGGCTCGCTCGCCCCGGACCACAATCAGCTCCAGCTCCTCCGGCGACTGCTCCGACCGTGCTCTCCGGTAGGAACCCAGTCCTTTCGCGGCCGCGCCTCGTGGGCGGTTTCGCGCCGCGCTCCGTCTCAATATGCGCCGTCGACTGCTCCACTGGGAACCTCGCACGACTCCACCGTCTCTCCTCACGACCGCCTCGTACTCCTTGTACCAGGCCTTCCGTTCGACACTACGATCCGTGACCTGCCTCACTTTAGCGCAGAAAACTTCTTGGATGAACTTCTTTGGGTCACGCCAGAAATGCAAAAGAAAGTGCTGTACCCGCTCGGATTCCTGCTTCTAGCTTCCAGCTTCCAATAACGGTTTTACACCGGTTGCCAGACCTCCGGACATTGGAAACGCCTAACTCCTTGCTACGGTCCTACTACGCCAAAAGGCTCCCAGATCGGTTGCCATCTCCCCCCCGGGTTGACACCTACACCGATCTAACGCCGACGTTACAAAATGCCCCCTTCGCAAGAGCTAGAACAGGGTCTCACACGATCCTGTTTAGCTAAACCACGGAGGCGTAGACTATTGTTCATAATCTTTGGCGTGGTAGGTGCCTATTGTCCTTCTCTGCATGTCCTCTAGCCCGTAGATTGAATCTCCCGTTCTCTTACGAACTCTCGGCTTAACGAATTCCAATACTGCCTTAACCTGTTAGTGTTTCTAGACCTAATCTTATCTTCTACCTTAACCTCACTATGCGCTCCTTCGCGATGCTCGTTGTCGCCCTCGTCCTTCTCTCCTACTTGTCCCTGTTTGAGCTTAACGGAATGCGCTGGGGTGGACGGTCCGGTGCATTCGCTTTCCCGTTTTTTTGACATTTCGGACAAGATGGCTTATACACATTAGGTGACCCGCATCCAAAACAGAAGACCTTCCGCTCTCCTGCGCAGTCGTGATACCTGTGCCCCTCCTTCCTGCAATTCCAGCAGATGAGAGCTACAGCCTCCACTTCACGTGCTTCTTCCTCCGTGAACTCTTGGGCCTCTTCCCATTCCCGATCACTGCCTAATTCCGCTACAGCTTTGCCGGAGGCATAGCCCCTATGCGAGCCTTTATCTTCTCGTCTCTGGGTTTCTCCAAATGCCTTCTTTGTCCAATCCGGCTTTGACGCGCTGCTATCTCGACGCACTTCCTCTAAAAATCGTTCACGACGCCTGCAAACTTCTCGTAAGTGGCCTATCGAACGTATTGATACATTCAGTAACTCGTGGCGGATCTCGGACCTGAGATTTCTTCTAACCATCTCTACTAGGGTGGCTTCGCTCAAGGGCATACTCAACCCATCCATCAGTTGCTCTACCGCCTCGTAAAATGAATCAAAATCTTCTCTTTCGCGTTGCTTTCGGTCTCTTATTGCTTCGCGTAGGTCCTCATCCGTTCTATTGTCCCTGAAATGATTTCTAAGCGCGTCGCACAACTCGCCCCATCTCATTCCTCTATTCAACTTATGGAAACGCCAGTAAAATTCTCCCGCTTTACCGTCGAACAGCAAGCTCGCATTGCCGCACAGAGCTGAGAAATTACTATCCAGTGTTTGGTGGGTCAATGCTTCTATCCGATAGATGAAATTATCGACGGTCATCCCCTCTGGATGTCCGCTAAACCGAATCTTCCAATTGTTTATAATGTGGCCCACCTTATCTGGTCTATACGCTAGGCTTTGTTCTGCTTGTTGTCTTATACCGTTCCTGAAACTGTAACTTTGATCTTGAATCGCCCCTTCATTATCGTAAATCCCACTGGGTTGTTAATGGACTCCAGCTCTAACTTCTTCATCCCTTTCTGGACGCTCCCTTTGGTGGAATAGTCTGTCCACCTGTGCCGATAGCTGTTCCAGTAACGTCGCCTGCATGGCGCTCACTGATTGGGACACCAATGCTTGCAGCTCCGCTGTGCTTCCTAGAGATTCTGCCTGAGATCCTGCTTGGCTAGTCCCGCAGGGTGAGTCTGGCCGGCGAGTCTGCTGGCTCGTACTCGCAGCGGTCGTGTCACTTGCCGCTTGGACTTTCTCAAAGCACACTACCTTGCACGTCGGGCATGACGACTTCGACCTGGCATGTGTTGTTATACATGTCTTGTGAAATTCGTGCCCGCACTTGGTCCTGGCTCTGCCAGTTGCCATTTCTTTGTTGCATATCATGCAGATGGGCATCTTCATGGGTGTCGCTGCCCCCTTCTCTGCCTCTGCCGGATTCATCCTTTCCTATTTTACTTTCTAAATCTGAAGATACACTAACAGATGTTCTCTCTCTTCGACTACCAAAACTCTGATTACTATTAATATGAAACCAAACTTCGCCATCGTTTAACTTGCCTACCGCCAATACACGCTGCCTTTTGTTCTTCTTCTTTCTGCTTTGCTCCTCATTCTGATCTGTTCGGGAGGTGGCTCGAGCAACTCCCCTCTACGCCTCTTCGTCGCCCGTCCCTGCTATTCCCAGGCACCGCGAGTCAACTACGCTATCTCTTAGGACGTGGTCATTCGTAGCTCCTACGACTGAATTCCAAGCGTCCATCTTCTCTACTAGGGGGCGACGGGTCCTATCTGCCAATCTCCAGGCGTGGTCAGACATCAGTTTGCTGACTGATCCTGCTCTCCAAGCGACTGCAGCGTCAGTTCTCCCGTCCCTTTGCTCTTGTCACAACTCGCCAGTCATAACTCGTGGTCAGGTTAGTCCTTTCCCTCCTGAAATCCTACGCGAGATACTGAACTGCTACTCCAAACTATTGCTGCGACTGCTGTGGCACCGTGGTCTACCCTTTCACCAAGTGTAGAATTCCATGCGGTACCCGCACCGCTGCTGAGGCTTTTGGTCTGGTTACTACCATGCTACTATAACCAGCCGAAATGAATTGAACGCAAAACATGGCTGCGTTTAGCCATACTGAAAACATGGCCACTAAGTTGGGCGCCAGAAAAATTTATGATAATTATTACTGTAACGAACAGTCAACCTTGTGAGGTGGCATCTTTGGATCAACGGCTGAGAGAAAGGGTTGCACGCGGTTGCCAGCTAGGCCTCGTCGGCTAATGGGTGGGTCATATAGGGCCCTTTCTCTCTCCCTGATGCTTACCTCGGAGATCATAAATTCTATCGTTAAT